CTTAGGTTTAAACATCTCCAGTTCAGATTGGGAGCAGACATCAACTTTCAAATTCTCAGCTTGATTCAGGTCTGGTCTTTGACTAGGCCACTGAACAAGGTTCAGGGTTCTGCTCCATCCCAGGCTCAGGTCTTCTGCAGCCTCTAAAAGGTTTGCTACCAGGATTTTCCTGATTTAACTCCATCTAGCTTCAACTCCCCCGTCTTTGATGCAAACCAACATTAAGCAGCTTCTGAAGAGAATTTGTTGTTTAAGATGCATCACAATCCAGAGAACTGCATAAAAATGAGAACCACACTTTACAGAGTATATTCAACAGTCTGAAAATTATCCATCATATCATAAAACGTCAGTGAAGTACATAGAAATGTGCGGCTCTGATGTCAGAAAAGCAGAGGGTTTATTTTCTGCTGATGGACAGAAATCCAGCGGATCCATTTTCAGATGTAGTTCTGGTGGATTTCTGGAGCCAGAGGAACCTTTCCACTGACCTCTGACCTCCTAACTCTGTTCAGGTCTGACTTTGTTTAACTCTCTGTCCTCTCTAACACCTCTGCGGACGTGTCCCCGTTCTGCTGTCCTCTGCTCTGTCTCTGCTGTCTAACTGTGGCTGTCCTCCCCCAGATGGATGTGGTCTATACCTTCCAGACGGGCCAGGCGGCGGTGCCCGGTGCCCTGCGCCGCCAGCCGTCCGTCGTCAGCCAGCACAATGACGCTACTGCCGCCAAAACTCTCTCTAGCCCCACCCACGTAGGGCTTAGCTCCTCCTCCTCTCTTACCAACTCGGCTGGGGCTCCGGCCCCTGCTGCTGCTTCCTCCTCCGCCGCAGGCAGTGAGTGTGACTGGAGGCCGGCTCACACAGCGCCTCATCCAGGCTGGACTCTGTTTAATCTGCATGAAACCGCGTCTGTCCCTGGCAGGTGTCTGCATGTCCTCGTCTGATCACAAACTAGACAGGAGGTCAGGAGAGTTTAGTTCTGGTCAGAGATCTCAAAATGAGCAGCAGTCAAACCAGAACCAGACGCAGCCTTTCCATCCAGAAAGAGTTGAAGAGAACTGGAGCATCCCTCCAGGGGTCAGGGGTCAGAGCTCAGGAGTCCAGGCGTAGAAGGGTCAGAGAACATGCAGACAGCCTCCTCTGCTTCATCTTCATCTCTTTCGTTTTCAGCTTGCTCTCTGCCGTTTCTTCTGCATGTTCTGGACGTTTGACCTGTGAACTGGTGTGAAGACCTGGTGAGACTTGCAGCCGTTGAGTCGGAAACAGAAGAGAAGAAGGCTTCTGATTGGTCGCCCTGCAGGCTAAACAATCCATAAATCCGCTGCTCAGAGGCAGCAGCCTGGTTACCCAGATCATTTTATGGCTTTAAATCCTTCGGGCTCCGCAAGTCTCTCATGGTTTAACATCCAGCAGTGTCAAAAGTTTGTGTGCGTGTGTGTGTGCACGCTCAGCTGCAGTTCTCCTGTAATTCAGCTTTGAGCTGCAGGTTATTAATTATAATGGAGAGTGTGTGCTGGTGCGTGTAAATCAGGGTGATCGGCGGCAGCCGTCTCATCAGAGGACAGGCCTCCAGAGGACAGAGCGGGATTACATTGGGTTGCGTTATCCGAAGGCTCCCAGTGACCCGCAGGGGCCCGACCTCCTCTGAGCCCTGGTTTCTGGTTCTGAGGCTGCGGTTGTCACAACAGAATAAAGGCTGCAGGAATTACGTTTACGAGGAATCTAACGGCAGTTCAGGTGGAAGTGTGACTGTTCAGAGTTCTTTCTGCTGATCCAGAAAAGAACAGGATATTAGTCAGGATTTACCTGAGCGTCCCGTCCCGGTTTGTGGTGAAATGGTTGATCCTGTTCAGGATCGGGGAGCGTTGCACGTTTTCATCCCAGACAGAAATTTGTCCACAGGGAGCCGATCTCTATAGAAACAAATATCTTCTCTGCATTGTTTTTTGTTCCAGAGAAGTTTCCATCTGCATTAACTCGCACAAATCCGCTCTGAGCGTTAACAGCCCAGACCACAGGGGCAGCGTAGAGCAATGCCAAGTCATGTGTCAGCCAATCAGATTGCCTCAAAATGAACTCCGCTTTCTGTTAGGAATTAAACGGCCAATCATCTGTGGAGCCTGGTCTGCAGGTTGAACTACTTTTAAATTGTGTATTAGAACATAAAGTTAATAAACAAAAAGGTAAGTTTGGCAGGTAGCCAGTAGATTTCTGTGCTTTATTATAATATTATATTATAATGTGTGGGATTCTAAATTTCTTTTGTGTTTATTTAAAAGTTTTATGAAATCTTCATTTTGATCAGAGTTTTTATGAATAATTGTTTTTACTGATATTAAACTGAGTTTTTATGTGGATGAAAGGCAACAATGCACATAGATGTATTAGTTTCCCCAGATAATGACTACATGTGGACAAAGCCTTAAACTTCAGGAAGTCTGAAAACCCAGTCCACAACTGGACTGGGTTTCTGGTTTGGACCACCTAGTCTCTAACTGGGAGTCTTTTTATGGAATTCATAAAGAAGTCTGTGGTTTTTAAAATGAAAGCGCTGCTGCTGCATCACTCAGGATCGGTGAGGAACTGTGATGGAAAACAATACGGGCTCTAAATGTGAGGAACATTTGAATGCTCTCCTGGTTGGAATAGTTTGTGCTGGGATCAATGGTGTGAACTATCCTACTGCATCAGAATGGAGATTAAGTAAAGATAAGCACATTTCTGGGAATGAAGCTTCAATATTCTATTAAGGCCCTTCAGTGATTATTATTGTTATTAGAAACTGATCAGAAAGTAGGTCATGCCGTCAGTTTAACTTTCATGAATGAATCTTTGAGTGTAGATGGAGTGTTTGCTTAGTGTTGCATGAGATTCGGTGACAGTTTGACTCAGTTGTTGCTGTGATGTCGTAGTAGCGATTGTGCCGGTTCTGCAGCAGTGATGGAGATCGGGTCGTTTATGCGGAAGGCAGGCAGGAGCATCCTCTGTGTGATGGGGTTAAGAATAACTAGTGTGTGTGTGTGTGTGTGTGTGTGTGTGTGTGTGTGTGTGTGTGTGTGTGTGTGTGTGTGTGTGCGGTGCGTGTGTGTGTGTGCGGTGCGTGTGTGTGCGGTGCGTGTGTGTGTGCGGTGCGTGTGTGTGTGCGGTGCGTGTGTGTGTGCGGTGCGTGTGTGTGCGCGGTGCATGTGTGTCCATATTCAGCTGCCTCCAACATGATGAGCATTTTTGGTCCTCTTTTGTTTCATGTCTTTCTCGGTTTTTCTCCAAAGTTTGCAGTTATTGTTCCTTTGTTGCAATTGTTGTGATCTGTGGTTTTACATCTCCCTGCCAAGATCCGGATGCATCCCCACACTCCATGATCCTCCCCAATCAGCCCCATGAATGTCCCATCAGCCCCGCTGCCCGTAGTGTTCTTGCTGTTCATCTTCCTGCTGCTGACGTGTCCTCTCTGTTTGTTTCAGATTAAGGTGGTGAACGCGTTCCGTAGTTCCATCTTCGAGCTGGAGAGTCCACATTCCCGTAGCTCCATCCATAGTTTCATGGCCCATCCTGAGTTTTTGACGCATTCTGAGGAGGAGGCGCCTCGGTTCAGCACCATTGAGGAGAACAGCGACGCGATCGAGGAACTTCCCTGATCCTCGGCAAAGGAAAAGCACCTGGCAGCAAGGAGCTCCTCCTCCTGCCCCTCCTCTTCATCACCGCCACCAGCTGGTTTGTTGCTCTGAGGAGGGGCATCATGACTCACCCTCTCATCAGCACACATCTTCGCCCCACGCCGTCTCCATCCTGACTGTGATGTTGTTCAGTTTGTTCCTCCATCACCTCCATCCCATCAGCTGGGGGCGGAGCCTCCTCACCAGGAACACCTGCTTCTCGTTTAGACTCCCTCGGTTCACTTATAGAAATCTCCCTCCCCTTTTCACCTCTGCATACTGCAGTGCATCGTGGGAAGGCAGTTTGTTTGCTACCCAACACGGCAGCATCCAGAGACGACACGCTCTCCGACCTCGTCCTGTCTGAGCCGGGTTCTGTGTCCCCCCGGCCCGGTTTATCCGCAGCGTCTGTCTTAACATTCTGCATGTTTTGATTTCCTGTTGAGTCGCATGACGGCCGTGAGTCCAGACGCGTCTCTGTTCAGAGCTCCATGATCTTCCTGTCTGTCCCACGTTGGAGAACCTGAAGGAAACATCCGGCAGATCTTCTGCCGTTTTGCCACGACGTGGCTGGCTCTGTTGATCACTACCGTCGCATTAAACACTAACCGTATCGTTTCGTTCCCCTCCCCTGTGACGCCGCACGGCGTCACAGGGGAGGATCGGGTTAAAGGGGTATTATGTATTTTCCAGGCACATAGTGCCATTTCATAGCACAGTCAATAACTATTGTACCTTCAGTTCTAAAAATGCTGTATATATCAATCATGACTGAAAATAATTTCTTTACAGTTTAACGCCTTGAAATTGGGACTCTCACCTGTAGAGGCTCCTGCTCTTTGTGACTCTTTCCACTTAGAGGAAAAAGCAGCGCTCAGTTAAACGACAGAGTGGTGGCCATGCAGATTAAAGGATTTCTCAAAAATGCATGAAAGAATCAAGGCAACACTCCAGTAATAACATCATAACTTGATGTACAGCTCAAAATTTTACATAATGTCCCCTTTAAAAATAATGATAAAAATCAGAAATCATTTCAAACAGCAGTGTGTTTAGCGTTTGCCCCTCACTGAAACATAGAGCCCTCTTTTCCTGCTTCGCATGACGGAGGCCTGGCTGCAGCTCCACCTCTAGGTCACAGAAGCCCCGCCCCCTCAGGCAGCTGCATGCAGCTTCCTCTGCTCCCCTGTCATCACACTAAGGAATTTAAACATTCAGAACAAGCAGACTGCAGTATTGATCCATTGGTTGGATCAATGCAGGAAGTTCACTGGAAGTGGAGCCATGAACAGAGTCAGCATGCGGCTGCAGACACAGACTGCCAGAGCGCAGAGCTTTTAAAGTCAGTGATGGACAGTCGGCTCAGTGTCTGCAGCTACAAGATCCTGGGTCCCTCGTCCACAAGCCAGGAGCTCTTGGAGCTCATGGATCGCTCGCCGCTGGGCGTTCCCTGGTCGCTGGGCGTTCCCTGGTCGCTGGGCGTTCCCTGGCCGCTGGGCGTTCCCTGGTTGTTCCCTGGTCGCTCGGCGGTCCTGGAGCTCCTGAGTTGTCTGCCATCTTTTTTTTCTTCCCTCGTTTGTCTGATTTTCGATGAGCTGTCAGTGACATCACACGGCCAGCAGCAGAGCCGGCGTCTGCTCATCACCGTTACCCCGGCGGCACCGCTCTGCCCTGCTGTGTTGGACAGGCGTTAGTGTGGAGGCCACGCCGAGGTTTATAGGAGACTGATGATGTCACCAGTCGGCCTATAGAGTTGAATCCACTGTGTCCCCGCCGCTTCCCGCAGCGGTGCGTCCGATCCTTTCAAACAGCCGTCGGCCCGTTTGGGTCGCCCCAAACGGAGGCGATGTGCCACTACTGCCATATTTTCCATGACTCGGTTAATCTTTTCCCCTCGACGAGCTTTTTCTAAGTACTCAGAGCCATATTTTCTAGGATGTTGTTTTCCGCCATTATTCCAGAGGCCCCACCCTGCCCTCCAAACGACCAAAAAGCCAGGAGAAAACTCTTCAGTTGTCACTGCCGAACCGTGTTTGAAGGACCTCTCCGATGTTTACATGAGAAGCGGTTTGACCCCTCATCTGTTCCTCTCCTCAATCTTACTGTCTAACTGAGTAGGAAACCTTTCTTGCATGGTGTTCATATAAAATTCAATGTTTTGTTCATTTTTTACAATTCTTCTGTATTTTTATATTGAGTACTTTTTAATATTTTGCAGATGTATGAATCTGTGTACAGGCTGAGGAGTTTGGTGAGCGTTCAGAACCTGAACGATAGGAATCTGCCGTGGACTCTGTTTTTACAGCTCCCAATGTTTCTGCCACGTGTGGCGTCGAGTCACCTGACGTTAGGGCTCCCAAACCTGCAGTGACTTGTTTACTTCCTGTTGGCTGTTCACTTCCCATCAGCCCCTCTGGCTCCAGTTTGGTTTCTTTGTTGTAACGGTTCTGACTTGGTTTGAGTCCAACATTAAACAGGAATGTATCATTATTCCTCCAACTTCTGGGTTTGTTTTTCACTGGATCATGTTGTGTCCGGCTCCAGGCTCCGCCCCTCATCCAGAGCTCGGCGCCGGTTGGGTCGGTCATCCGTTTACAGCCTCTGTGGGACTCTGGGTCAGAACCGGGCCTACGATAACCAACCCCTGAGGTCAGTGTTCAGACCCAACCACATTTCAGCCTCAGTTTGGTCTCTGATCTGTTTCAACACGGAGACGATTAACCAGATGGATCTCAGAACAGAATTTCAGGAAAAACCTGAACCGGGTTGGCCCGGGTCCAGAGGTTCTTCCAGAACTCAGACTCATCCATCCTGTAGATTCTGACTGCAGCAGTTAGAGCTGAGTCTTTTCCGGTCCGGCGCCGGGTTCTGGAGCCTAGAGCAGGACACAAGGTGCCGCTGCGCTCCGCCCGACTTTCAGCCTACTGTGGAAAGGGCGGGACTGTTCAAGCTCTCTGACATCACTTCCTCTTCCTGCTGAACTCCTGCCCCTGACCAGCAGGTGGCGCATGTGTAAATAATGTCGCATAGTGAATGAGGCGAACCAGGAAGTGGGAGAGCGGCCAATCAGCCAATCATCACCCAGCATAGCTTTAAGATTGTTCTGCCAAAGTCGTTTCCCCCCCCCCCCTCCCTCCCTCCCTCGGCCTGGTTCAGGATTGTCCCTCTGCTCTTGCCGTAGCCTCAGTGGCTCCGCGGGGCGTCCGGCTGCTTGGACCTCATCCCGGACGCCCCTGCAGCAGCAGAACTTTGTTCTCCATCATGAAGGAGCTTCTTCTGTTCCAACCCTGCTCATCGTCTGCAAAACGAACTGGAACATCGCAGCTGGAAGCCACATTTACATTCCGTGTGTATTTATCTCCGATATGTACGAATATATATCAGATTTAAATATTAAGGCAGGAATCCAGTTCTCTGTTTGAACTTTGTTGCAAAAAAGACTGAAAGTTTTAGTTTCTGTAATTACTATGATAGCCAGTTATAGGCGTTGGTGTTATTTTTGTATAAACATGATATCATCTATGTGGCATGCATGACATATATACAGACTTTGGTGGTTTAAAGCAATATGTCCGACCTGGTGCGATTGGTTCCGTCGTGTTCTGTGTAGCCAGAAAAAACCCAACAAAACCCAGAAAAAAGAATCAGCAGCTGTTCAGTATCCGTGTTCAATGTTCTGTGTTCTGCATGTTTTAGTACGGAATGACGCATCCCAACTGTTGACTCCACTCACACACACACACACACACACACACACACACACACACACACACACACACACACACACACACACACACACACCGTCAGTCTCCGTTACACTGAAAGGAGAAAACACTGAGCAAACCTGGAATCTCATCTTTCTGTTCCCATCACAGCACTCAGGTTCACACACTGTCCCTGAACTCATCGCTCACTCTCACCAATCACATCAATTAATCTCTGGATCAGAACCCAAACTTTCCCATCAGCAGTTTGTCGTCCACATGCTCCAAAAATTAGAATCTGACGTCAGAAATTCAGTTTCTGACAAATGATCTGCTGCTTTACGTATAAACGTCTTCCAGATTTGTCTGAAACATTTCTTCTTCTCTGCAGTTGTTGGACGGTTCCATCCGACCTGGTTCCGGTGTCACACCAGATTCTGAGGCGCCCCCAGATCCGGTGTGACACCGGATTAACAGGAACCAGTCTGAAGCTGTAAAACATGAGACATCCAGACTGTCTGGAACATTTTGGAGGGTTTTATTTTTTTGGCTGAATATTTTTGCCTCCTCTGCAGCTTCCATGTGACGCTGAGAGGAAAACCTGAAATATTCCAACAAATCCATTTCAGCTCAAATTTAAGAGCCCAATGAAATTATTATTATTATTAGAAATATTGTTATTAAAGTAAACAAAAGCTGATGCAGTCAGAAATGTTTGAAAAATGTTTTTCAGAATAAAAGCCTGTATTTACTGCTTGACATCGACTCAGATTGTATTTCATTTAAAACTCATCTGGTTCCCAGCAGCAGCTTCAGATCTGCAGCGCCACCACCAGGCTGCCACTGGTTGCTGCAGACACCTCAGTGTTGGTGCTCAGTTCTGGTTCTGAGCCTCGGTTTAGATTTGGACCAAAACGTCCTGTGCTTCCCCACGTGTGTGTGTGTGTGTGTGTGTGTGTGTGTGTGTGTGTGTGTGTGAGAATCATCCTGTCCGTTTGTCTCTCGTCCTCCTGTTTGCTTCGATCTATGCAACAGAATAGTCCCGTTCTCCACCTGCTTCCTCCTCCTCTTCCTCCCTGTCCGCTCGTCTCATTGGTTCTGTGACCTTCGGTTCTCCGTGCAGACAGAAGCGCGACACACACACGCTGATGGATGCGCGTGTGTGTGTGCACACACTCCTGGTTTTTCTTTACTCTTTTGTAAGATATGATCATGTGGAATGCCCTGGTCTTAGTGTCATGTCGTTTGAACAAAAGATGAATCAAGCAACTGAGAACAAGTTGTTACATAAATATATATATATATATATAAATATATACAAATCTATATACATAAAAAATAAGCCATTAAAATTTGAAATAAAACTGTGGGTTTGTGGTTCTTTTAAAGATGAAACAGTTTTTTTTTCTTTGTGATTTATAAATGCCGGGTCGCCCAGTTCTCCAGAACCACAGTTTGAATCTGCAGGGTTTGGTACCTGACGGCTGAATCGGGTTTGCTGCCATCCGTCCACTCCTCCTGCCCTTCCTGCTTTACTCGTTGGGCCCGTTAGATTTCATTTAATTCAGGCTTAATGAAGTTTCTTCAAACATTTCATTTTTATTGGACTCTTTCTTCCCACTTTATTCCCTTCTAATTAAAATAATTCTTGCAGTGAGGCTCAGAGCTGCAGCTTCTCTCTTGTTCTCTAATGTAAACACGTTGGTTAAAATCCTGGATATCTAAAGCTTCTCTCAGCAGGTTTTGCTTAAAACTGAAAACATTTTCTGTATGGAAGGTCATGACTGTGACTGAAGGGCAGTCGTTCGCAATCAGAAGGTTGAAGGTTCAATTGCAGCTTCATCCTGTTGGGAATATTCACAGACTGTGTCTCAGCAGATTGGGAAGATGGAATCTATATGGACCTCATGGCTTCCAGGAGCTGAAGCTTTTTACTGCCTTTGGTTTTGCTGTTGCGGTGACAGAAGCTGTGAGGCTGGAAGCGCTGGGCCTTCTGCTGGGGAACAAAAAGGGCCTCGAATTCGGACAGGCTATGAAAAGAGACTTTCAGTTGGCATCAAGGAACTACTGGAAAATTATTCAGCAACTCAGAAGGAAGAAACTGAGCTCATAGCAGTATGTGGGGGAGGGGAGCTGCAGGCCCAAACTGAGGACATCGTAGGGCAGCAAAAAGAGACGTTTAAGGAGTTCCTTGATCCAGTCACCATGTGAGAATGACATCCATCCATTATAGTACACACTTATCCATAGAGGGGTCACAAGGGATGCTGGTGCCTGTCTCCAGAGGTCAACGGACGACTCTGGACCTCACTTCTGCTCACAGCAACACTCAGAGTCGCTTCAATTTTAACAAGTTCAAACTGAGAAAAACAACAACAGAGTTTAATTTTCTGTATTATTACAGGTTTATTCTGATCTGTGCAGAGAAAAATGAAAGCTGTTAATCAGTGAATTTTATAGCAGCTCAAAGGTTGAATTCTGGATTCTGCATTGAAACACAACCTGAATCAGAACTGAACTACAGCAGGAATCAGTTTGTGATTTTTGGTTCCTGCAGAGAGACGATCAGATTCACCTCCAGACCAAACGAGCAGCTTCCTCTCAGTGAGTCCAGCTGCAGGAGAGAAAAGTGGAAACTGCTGCTTCCAGCTGCTCACACTGAAGGCGAGTTGGACCAAAAACACTCAGAGTTCAGTGACTGACTGGACCTTCTGTGTTTTCAGCTTCACTCAGAGACAAAATGGCTTCCAGACCAGAGGAGGATCTCTGCTGTCTGCACTCTGAGAAACTCAAACTCTTCTGTCTGGACCATCAGCAGCCAGTTTGTCTCGTCTGCAGAGATTCAGAAAAACACATCAAGCACAGATTCAGAGCCATCGATGAAGCTGCTCAGGATCACAGAGAGAATCTGAAAACATCTCTGGAGCCTTTAAAGAAGAAACTGGAGCAGAAGAAGGAAGTTAAAGAGGAGTTTGATCAGACAGCAGAACACATGAAGGTCCAGGCCCGACACACAGAGAGGCAGATTGTTGAGCAGTTTAAGAAGCTTCATCAGTTTCTAGCAGAGGAAGAGGAGGCCAGGCTGGCTGCACTGAGGGAGGAAGAGGAGCAGAAGAGAGGGATGATGGAGGAGAAGATGGAGGCTCTGAGCAGAGAGATAGCAGCTCTTTCAGACACAGTCAGAGCCACAGAGGAGGAGCTGAGAGCTGAAGACGTCTCATTCCTGCACAACTACAAGGCTGCAGTGGAAAGAGTCCAGCGCTGCCCCCTGCTGGAGGATCCACAGCTGCCCTCAGGAGCTCTGATAGACCAGGCCAAACATCTGGGCAACCTGGCCTTCAACATCTGGAGCAACATGAAGGACATGGTGACCTATACTCCTCTGGTTTACCCAAACACGGCTGGGCCAAAAGCCTTCTTATCTGAAGAACTGAGCGCTTTGACACATGGAGATGAACAGCAGCTTCCTGTCAACCCAGAGAGGTTTGCTCGCTTTTGTTCGGTTCTCAGTTCTGAGGGTTTTAACTCCGGGATCCACAGCTGGGATGTTGAGGTTGGAGACAGTGAAGACTGGATGCTTGGCATGTTGGCAGAGTCTGTCCAGAGGAAGGGAAACTACCAGTCTGGATTTTTGCATATTGGGATTGTTGAATGTAAATCCTCAGCAGCATCTCCACCAGTTGCTCCTGCAGTTCTTTCATTAAAGAAGAATCTCCAGAGGATCAGAGTGAGCCTGGACTGGGATGGAGGAAAACTGACGTTCTGGACACTAACACACCTTCACACAGAAGATGTTTCCTTACATCACCGCTATGGATAAAGCAGAAATCGTATCGATGAAGATTTCAGCCAGCAAACAGCAGCTCTGATGAAACTCGGCAGGAAATTTCCATCTGGTTGTTTTTATGAGCAGGTAAATATTGAAAGCTGTTAAACGCTGCAGTCCCCATTTGGCCCCATTTGGTTTCTGATTATTTCCGAGGCTGGAGCGCCATCTGGTGGGCTCCTCCAGTACAACACTTTGTCAAATCTTTAAACTGATTTTTTTTTTCCTTTGCCATTAACAGTGGCATCTATTCAGTTCAAATAATTCATTCATCTGTTAACTCTTCTACCAGCTGTCAAAAAAACATTTTTCTAAACGAATATACTTTATTTTTATCCTGTGGGATTAATAACAGACTGGCAACCTGTCCAGGTGACCCCTAATGACCTCTACAGGGTCAAGGGTGTGTGAAAATGGATTAATTAATAACGCATATTCATTTTCATAATCAGTCTAAAATCTGTCTATAGGGACTTTCTTTTTAGTCACTGAAAATATTTTCAGATGATAATTTAAATAGACATAAAACGCAGCAAAATATAGAATACGTCTTGAAGTTGGAGAGTGGCGAATGACAAGGTAACCTTAATTACCTAATTTAATCAATGGACTTCAGATGTTTTAGAGAAAACTGAGGCAAAATATGATCAATTAATTTTTCTCTGGTTGAACTGAAAGTAGAGCGAGCTATATTTTTTGTCCCAATGAAATGTTTCGTATCATCAAAATATCACACAAAAATAATTTGAAAGGTTTTAAAATAATTGGAGGGAAAACATCAATTTAAGATGTGAGCTAAAACTTCAGCTGATTTTGTTGTTCCACATCAACAAAGTAAGAGTATTTAATTTAAAATATTGCTTTTTTTATTGAATGAAACTGAGTGCATTAACACAGAAAACCCAACAAACACGTTATCATCTCTAATCTACGGAAGCCTCGAGGGGACATGGAGGTTTTTCTCTTTGCGTTCTCGAGCAGTAACGTTCCAGTCTGTTGTAAGGTTTTCCATCAACTGTTAGTGTGAAATCTGAAGTTTTATATCTTTCCTGTAAAGTTTTGAAAAAATACCAACTATTTGGAGTATTTTTGAGTTATTTTCATGGTTTATTAATAAAGTGCTGTTTCCCATCTCAATGTACAAACATGAAAACGCAACTAATACATTTGATTTTCAATAAGTTTTTCACACCAAAGAGTAAAGAATGGATGACAAGTTTTTTACTGAGGCTCATTAAAGGCCTTTGAACTTTTAAATTAACTTATTAAACTGCTAATTTAAACGCAAATGAAAAAACTTTCCCCCATGTCCCTCAGGGGCCTCCGTACAGAACACTTAAACTAGTCAGGGAACCGGATTGAACCGCCACCATCTTCATCACTCCTCCTGCTGCTTCTTGGACATCATCACCATCACCTCCCCCTCCATCACCACCTTGTCCTTGGCGGAGCACGTCACCGCGATGAAGGCGAACGACATCTTGATTTTACGCACTTCCGCCTCGGCCAGAACCTCCTCGCCGACGAAGAGGGGCGCCAGGAAGCGGATCTCCTGGTACAGGAAGACGCTGCCGGGGCCGGGCATCCGGGTGCCGAGCACCGCCGACATCAGGCCGGTGATAAGGACGCCGTGGACGATGGGCGCCTCGAAGGACGTGGTTTTGGCGTAGGCCGGGTCGACGTGCAGCGGGTTGCTGTCGCCCGTTAGCTCGGCGAACAGCTCCACGTCGCGCTTAGAGAACGCCTTTGTCAAGGAGGCGCGCTGGCCGACGTGGAGGCGACGTCCGAGGGGCGGGGCCAACGGCAGGCGGGAGGGGCGGAGCCTGACGCAGAGCGGCGTCCAGGCTGACGTCATCCTGCTTCAGTCCAGCTGCAGGTCGCGGCTGTTTCCGGTCAGCGCCAGGAGGAACGGAGACACCTGAACGCACCACGAGGCCAGAGTCAGAAAATAAAGTTTATTCAAGTGAGTTTTATTTTTAATCAGCAACAGAAAATAGATATTAAAATGAATTAAACATATCAACAAAAATTACAGAATCTTGACTATAAAATGTTTTAAAATACAACAAACCAAAAAAAAGAGTGAATGAAGATTGTTAAATAAAAAAAAAATATCTATATAGTGAACATAAATATTAACATTGAACTTGTAGCAATACAAATAAAAAGAGCAAAATTAGGAAATTACCGAGAAGAAACTAAAACGTTTCATGGCTTTCACAGTAGTTCAGTTATTTTTAGTCAAATATTTAATACTGTTAGCAAATGTATGCAGATGATGCAGGTTTTCTATTTGGCCAAATTACGCTGGTTTAGTTTTTAAGCCACAATTAAATAAATGTTTTCCCTTATAATAACAAACGGAATTTTATGTTAGGTATTAAATAAAATCCATTATAAATTTTTTTAACTGCTCAAATAAAATTAATTCAAGCTAAAAGTTTTTGCAAACTGTGTATGTAGGTCAGAATTAGTTTTAATCTAAATTACTGTGGTTGGTCCATAATTAGGAGTTTAAATTATGGAAAAAAAGTTTTGTCTAAAAATAAAACAGAACTTTGTGCCAGGTTATGAAATAAAGAAATAAATTAATATTTCAGCTGGAGCCGCTCACATCAGAACCTGAGTTTAGGTTCTGCAGCAGAGTTCGGTCCAGATTGTGGATCCATGTTGTTCCTTTGGCTCCATTTCTGCTCTGGAGTCGAGAACAAACCGACGTTTTGAGATGAAAGTGGTTCTGATACGGCTTCCTGTTCGCCCGGCGATGGGCGGGGCAGCAAGGTTTTCCCCGCTGATAGGAGCAACAACGTCTGCCAAGAACGCAGCAAAAGTCTCACAGCTGCAGCAAACGTCTTCCTCAGACGATCAGCCAATCAGAATCAAGATGGAAACATGATCAGCCAATCAGGCTGATCATGGCGACTTTTAAATCTCCTAGGGGAAAACTTTTTAATCTTCTTAAACTGGAAACTGTTTTTGTTGAACTTTAATGGAAAGTGGGACTGCAAACGTCCACCGACGTTTACTAAAATCTATTCATCAAAGTTCTGACTTTGTATTTTAGCACCTTGAAATTGGACCTCTGTCTCTTTAAGAAGCTTCTGCTCTTTCTGAAGCTCCTCCATCAGGAAGTCATCCCAACATGGCTCCTCTATTAACCCTTTGATGTTTTTACCAGAGTTGCTCTAAGAAGTAGTTTGCATAATGAGATCAGCAGCTGTTTGCTAATTGCTGCTGGCTAGTCTGAAGGAGCTGAGTGGGGGAGGAGCTGAGTCCAGAAGGCAGGGCTACGTCCAACCAGGCGTTTTGAGCAGCTGAATGGTTGCCATGGAGATTAAAGGTTAGGTAAGCTTCAGCTAGAACATGATGGAAAACGTGATACTGCCCTTTAAATTTGAAAAGCATTGATGAATAAAATGTGCTGACCTGCAGAACCCTGAAGGCGCAGGCCCGGTTCTGGTAGAACCCCTGCAGAGTGAGGGAGCTCCACAGCTTCACCAAACCCCTGAAACAGAACCCAGAAGAGGGAAATAAAAACCCAACCGGCTCCAGGTTCTGCGGGCGGAGCCGGCTTCGGACCGGTACCTGCTGGGAACGCGCAGCAGAGCGGTCAGCGTCTCCTCATCGTACTTCAGCACATCCACACTCAGCGCAGCTCCGACCTGAAGAACACCAGCACCGAGTTATCAGAGGAAAGGTCCGGACCCGAGCGGCCGGGCAGAACCGTGAGGACCCCACCTCTCCGAACAAACTCCTCAGGCAGGAAGTGATGAAGGTCTTCAGGTCGACAGCGCTCACTCTGGCCGACTCATCCTCCAGCACCCTGCAGGGAGGAGAGAGACTGGACTTACCGCGAGTAAACAGAACAACGCACAGGGTTCTCATACGTTCCCAAAAAACATTGACCTCTGACCTCCTTAGCAAACCCACAGACAAGATACATAAACAAACATAAACTTTTATATTAACTTTGTAATAATTATTACATGAACTTAGTGTAAATGGTAACATCTGATCTTAGATGACCACCAAGTTCTGCAGCACAAATTCTTATTATCAGATCACATACATTCACCATTTTTCCTCTTTTGGTAAGAAAATATGTGATATTTAATATTAATCACATGAAATGCTATTTTATTCCTATAATTCTCATAGGTTTTGTCTTGACAGAAACTTTTTCACTTCTTGCTGCTATTTTAACTTAAAAACAAAGTAGTTTGATTAATTATTTTAAGAAAAAAATATTTACAAAAAAACAAACATGATGAACTCTCATCTTGGATTATGTGTTTTTTATATATATATTTTTGAATTATTATTTTTATCTTCCTTTCAACTTTCTTGAGCCCCCTCGGTGCCCTCCAGTGGCCCCCAGGTGGCCCCCAGGTGGCCCGCGGTCCCCACTTTGGCAAACACAGGTCTAAGTAGTTGAAACTTACAGGCGGACTTTGAGGTAGTGATGCGGCGAAGCGTTCTTCAGTACGACCCGTTGGTACCCAGAAGATTCTGCCTCCTCAGCGCCTGCTCTCATTTTCCGCAGACTGGAAACTCTGAAGAGGAAAAGGTCAGAGGACGTGACCTTGAGGTCACACGACAGAAAATATCAGTCCAATTCTTTCACTTCTCACAGCCGATCCAGAAATCTGTTGATCTCTTCAAACGAATAAATCAGAAACCTGAAGGATGAAATCCTTTACATTTGTTTCTACAGTCAGTGAACGCACCACAGCTCAAAGCTTTTGGTTTTGATGGTCAGGAGGTTTTTATTTACAGAAATATATTCGACGTTTTTAAGCGTCTTGATCATTAACTGGACTCAACAGAACCAGAACAGTGTTAGCATTCAAGCTAATAGAAGCTAATTTTTAAACAACTATATTCCTAAAAATCTTTTGGACAAATCGCTGGACATAATAAAAACAAACGAGGATCCGGAAAATAAAGTTCAGAAATCAAAAAGGCTCATATCTACAAAAAGAAAATTATAAAATTTACAAGAAATCAAGACTGAAATTTTATTCTTAATTTATACCTTTATTCCAAATAAAACGTAGGACATGTCGTTTGAAAAAAAAAAAACTATGCGTGATGAATCTTTATTACCGGTTTCCACAATGCGGGACAGAAAATGCTAAACTGTATATGACTTTTAGCTGTAAGATTAACGGACCACCGACAGATCTGAAACATCGACAGGCTGGGGTCACCGTTTCCAGCCCCAGGAGGAGGTCAGGGCGGAGCAGCACGGAGCTCCAGGCCGCTACGACATCTCTGGATCGGATCAGAATCTCCAGAACTCTGACGGAACACCTAAAATGTTTTTACTCACCGTCTACATGTCCATGGAAAGAGAACTGCAACGTGTTTACCCTGCCGCCATCAAAATCATCAACGCATGCGCACTTACCTCATAACGCTCTGATCAGGAGGTCTCACTCTGTCACAGGAACCGATCTTGTTCATTTTAATGGCGAGTTTTTCTTCAAACGGCAAACTTAACTTGGGTATTCTTGGAGTATTTTGAATGCAACATGAACTGCTTTTTATTGACCAGAGCTAAAATTAAGATTTGCGACATTTCTATAAAAATACAATACATTCTTGCTCAAATACGTTTTCCATGTTCTTCTGTGGCTTGTTTTAATCTATTTAAAACAATCTATTTTCATGATCGGTATTTTACAAAATACTTACATTCATATTTTAATCAGAATATTTCTTATCTGTGTCCTTTAGCTCGACTAACGCCTTTTTCAGACTACTATCGAACAGTCTGAAAAAAATGTATGGACTGAAACATCTTGCATAGTTTGTTTACTCTTTGACAGCGATGTTAAAGCAGTGTAGGGTGCTGCCCTCAAGTGGCCAAATCATGTTACCGCAAGCAAGATAAAAAGAATCAAACCCAATTTCTTCTTTTTAAAATTTAATTTTTCAACCCTTGAGAAATATTTGTGCAAAATCATTCTGTTAATTAATTTAACTTATTTTTATTCTAGTTTACAAACAGAATGAAAATTAAGCAGGAATCACAATTAACCCTACGTTTGGGTTTTTAGTCTCATTTCTTGTGAATATCATAATTTCTTCCCTACAAAAAAAAGGAAAAAAAATAGTCAAATTCCTCCCATGGAATAATTTTTGCTAACAAGAGGAGACTCATCTCAGTCAGTTAAAATCAGAACTCCAAGTTCTGTTTTTTTGCTCCTCCATCGCTCAGACTTGTTTCTTTGCTTTATTGTGAAAGTCCAGCACAAGGTTAGCAAATTTCCTTGGCCTCTCCAAGGCAACGGCGTGACCACAGTTGTCCAGCAAATCCACCTGGCAGTGAGGCAGCGCCTTCTGGATCACTGCGGCTCCAGAAACATCCAGGATCTGAGAAAGTGGAGGTTGAGATTTACTTACATTCAAAGTCCAACTGGGTTCAGAATCAAATGTTTCTGGTGTTCTGATTTCTAAAAATCTGTTTTAATGTGTTGGGAAGTGAATGTTGCAGCATTGCTGTGTTTACCTGGTCGTTCTTCCCCCAGATGACCTGCAGGGGCGCTGTGATCAGATTCAGGTGTTCCTGCAGCGAGTGTCGAGACTTCTCCCCAGCGATCGCCTCGAACACTAAACATAAACAGTATTTGCACAGATTAAACCAACAGAGGAAACAGAAACAAAATAAAATCAGATGAAATAGCGCCAGAATTATTTTACAACTTATAATTATTTGTTGCGCAGATTATGAAACAAATAGTCATTTGTCTCATAATTTGAAATATTTTGCAAATTGTTCCCAGTAATGCATAACTGTGAGTTTACTGCAAATTTTTCCTAAAAATAGTTAAAAATATTGAGTTTGTAATGTAAACTCCCACCTGCAGGAGGCAGTGTTTCTTCTATTGCACTGCTGCCTCAGGCTCATTTCAGATTTGGAAGTTTTTTAAAGAATAAAGATGCTTGTGCCTCATCTGTCTGCTTCTTGTTTTTTCCATATGCAGATTTTGCAAATATTTCCAAAGTAGCATCACTAAATCAGAAATTTTGAATGTAAAAAAAAAAAAAAAATCCCAAACTTTACTTTATATTTGGACTGTTTGACAATGTAATTTTAAAATATCAAATAATTGATCATCTATCTGTTAGTGCTTTTAGCCAAATAATTTTTTTACTCTTGAATAATTTGATGGCTACTTTTTACTTTTACTTGAGTAAAATATTTATGAACTCCGCCCACATCTGCTAAAAGGTCAGCCTCATTTTTCACATTTCTGCCAACACATCTCACATTTTAATGAACAGCTTTGGTCTTGAAATGAAAAATAAAGCAACTTGTGTCTTTATTTTATTTCAATCTGAGGAACGATGGAGAGTGAAAACTGACCTTCTCTGTAGAAGTCGTTGTTTGGGATCCTGTTGGCCAGGAGGCCCCGGAGGAACTGCAGGAGCAATCAGAGCAACATGTCTGTTAGCGCCGCGCTGCGCCGCGGATGGAAGCCCGAGGGCTCGGCGTACCTGCCGGGGGATTGTGGGCGGTTTGTAGCAGCACAGCTTCAGCATGGCCTCCAGCTCCTGCATAGAGGTGGGGATGAGCGGGATGGGTTTACTGGGCACGATGGACTTATCCAGGTCATTCTCCTTCAGAAGGGCGATGAAGCTGGACTCTGTGGGGTAAATCAGACCTGCAGGGAGGCAACGAGGGCAGAAAGCACCAGCAGCGACACAAAATTAAAATATGCAAATTTCTGAAGCCAGAAAAATATCAAATCTATGAAAAAGCAGAGAAAGTCCCTGGAGCAGGACAGTCCAAACTTTTATTATTGACTTGCAGTTGGGGGCCACACAGAATCACTCCAAGGGCCACAAATGGCCCTGGCGCCACACTTTGGACACCCCTGCTTTAGAAGTTCACAGGGAAGTGAAACCTGAAGAAAGCTGCAGATTTACCTGCTGGACACACCAAGGTGAGGCTGCAGACGTCAGCCGGGTAGAGACCGGCGTAGACGCCCGCCACGTTCCCCCCCATGGAGGCGCCGACCAGGTGGAACGGCGATTTATCCAGACCGACGCTGCGGACGAACTGAGCAGACACAAAACAGACGGGCGGCCATTTTCAACATGCTGATGTCGTTCATGATGTAGAAACCAGATTTATACTTTTTCATTATTGTTTAGTTTTATTGTGACAGTTTTATTCAGTTAATCAGTGTTTAGAGTGTGTTAACTAGTTTCTGTTGGTTATTTGAGTTAAATCTTGTTCCGTTTGCGCCGACCTGATGGACTCGCCTGGCCTGACCCTGGATGCTGTAATCTTCTGCTGCAGCTCGACACGTCCCTTCATGTCCAGGCATGTCCAAACAAACCACATGCAGGTTTCTGGGGAAGTACTGGGAGCAGAAAGCAAACACATAATAATAAGTATTAGAATGTTCTGATGCTTCTATTGTCCGAAATTGAAGCAAATAAATCAGAATTCATGTTGCAACCAGTTTATTGAGCAACAACTGACACAGAACGTAGAAACTGTGGGTTGAAATTAAAACATGCCAGGGAGTGAAAATAGTTTCAAAGTATTTGTGTGTGTAATACTGAATTTGTAAACCTTAAATATAACATAAACCTTCTTCTACGCCTACAAATACTGAAAACTGACACACAGGTCACCTGGTTGCACATAAAACTGCATTTACTAACAAAGACTTTTCAGACTCATTTCAGCTTCAGGAGCTCCCAGATGGTGCGTTTACATGCCAGTCAAAAGCTGGGGCATTTGAGTCTAGTGTTTTTACCCTCTAAATGTTTCTTGTGCCAAATACGTTAGTTGAGAGGAAAACGGTATATCTCAGCACTTCCTTATGTAATTATTTACAGACATATTGTGCATTTTAGAGCGCTACAGGAGACTCTGGTCTGAAAAACGAGCACTGGGTCGCAGCATTGTGCTCTGATCTCTGACGTACGTCGGAGTTAAACCTGCAGGCTTTGCTCTAAAGAGAGGAATTCTAAATAATTTCAGATTAAGCATCCCTGAAACCGTATTTTGTTGCTTCAGCAGGAATGAAGGTCGATCTGGACCAGCAGGACTTTATTCACCAGAACAAACTGAAAGACTTCATGCATGTTGACTTCTTGACATATTTAAGGATTTACACATACGCCTGTTACAATAATCAATATACTTTTACACACGGACAGAGACTTTGAGACTGTTTTTACTGCATAGTTCTGCAGGAACAGAACCTACAGAACCTGGAGAACCAGGTTGGGAGCACGACAAGAACAGAAAGGTCAAAGGTCAGACCTCAGCCTGACTGCGTGTGCGTGTTACCATGACGACAGGCAGCCACATGTCCTTGGAGGCGGCGAACCCGTGCAGCAGCAGCAGCGACGGCGTGGCGCCCCCTGGGGTCCCGCGGGTGGAATAACAGAAGCGGTAACTTCCACAGTGGGAGTAGCGGACCGCCACGCCCTGCGAGCGCCGATTGTACCTGACAGGACAAACGGAGGCGGTTGACCTTTGATGACCTCTAGAAACATTTCTTTATATCTTTAAAGTGATAGCAGCACAAAACATTTTTGCTGCACAAACGCAGCACCAAGCGGCTTGGACCGGCCCTGATCGGGACGTCGGTGAGGATCCCTGCAGCCACGGAGACGAGCGGTTCATCAATAAACAGTCTGCTTTCATAACTCAGTGCAGAAAACCAATAAAGCCGCTGAATATTTCTGGATCAAAACCGTCTTTGTAGTCGGAGGAGAATGACGCAGACAGAACTAAAAGCCAGCAGGAAGTTTATGACACTCATCGTTTCATGGCAGCAAACGGTTTATATTTCCATCAACAGTTTTCAAACAGGCTCGCCATCTGGGCTCGCAGCTCATCCTGTGGCCCTCGACTCTAAGAGCCACATGAACAGAACTTCATATCTTACAAACCATTTCAATCAAATCAATGCAGATTTTTTTGCAGAGAGTAGATTATATCAATGTAAAAAGATGTTTGATGCCATTTAACTTTTATAAGTAGAACGCAGAGACAGGAATTTATTTTTATGTTGTAATTTGTTAACGGCCCTTTGAGGACATTCACAATCTTGATGAGCACAAAATGAAAATGTACGTATGGAGAAGTGCTGACTTTACAGGATCTGTTGAGGTCAAAGGTGATTCAGTGACTCATCTTAATGGAGGCAGCGCATTCTGTGTGCGTTTACCAGTTGTAGGCCTTCAGCAGCACACCGGGCCAGAACACGACGGACGTGATGAAGGCGCAAACAGGAACAAGCAGAACTCCTCCTGTTAGCAAAAAGGCTTTAGCCCAGGTTAGCTCCATCGCTGCTGCAGACGCCTGGAAAAGCAAACAGACATCCGATCAGATCGTTTTTTCCTCCCGGATCTTTATCAATACAAACTGAACTTTAAGCTGCAATTCAG